CAACTTTTCCAGTTTCGTTGAGAAGGAAGGCCATGCATGAGGATTCCTGAGCATCTCGATCAACTCCTTGCAATCAGTTCCAAAGCTTTGACATGGCGAATGTTGAAGCATGTTCTCCATTGCCCACCGTAGTGCTTCCAACTCTGAATGCAACGCCAATTGAACTCGATCAAAATTACGCAGTCCCATTAACTGTCTATTTTCAGAGTTATCATTCAACACCCATCCACATCCATTGAAAAAATCCGTAGAAGTCCAAGATCCATCCACCATGCATATGTTACCCAAACTTAAGGCCTGGTCTTCAATTGTTCCGTTCCCAAGGGAGAGCGGTATATCCAGCTCGTTTGTTTGGAACCATGCTTGGCATTCACTTTCTGCATATCGCGCTACCTCCAATGGATCCCTATCAATGCCTCTAAATAGCTTATCATTCTGAGCCTTCCAAATGTACCAGATTAGCCAAAGATAAGGATCCCTGTCCAATTCCGGTTCCATTAATGCATTCTTCCTCCAGAATAGATAGTCCATATTTACGTACGTGCTTTGTACTGGAAACAGAGCTAGATTGGTAGGCGTAGATGATAGCGCCCAAACTTGTAATGCAGATGGGCATTCAAATATTTTTAACAGGCTTCTTTTTCCTTTGTCTAACATTATTTTAGGTTTATGAAATATTGTTGATAAAGAAGAAAAATGCGAGTAATGGTTGACTAGCATTTTTTTTGAAAAATTAATTCGAATAAAAACAATAAGCCAAACACAAGTATGTATTAGTAATATTGGGTGTATATATAACACAGAAGATATGGGCTATGAATGGGTCGGACAACGGGCGTGCAGGAGAAGCCGTTCTGCTCTGCATGCAGAGACGGAAGGTCTTCTCTGGGCAATCTCATGTTTGAGAAACTTGCGGATCAAGTCGGTGAGGATTGAGACGGACTGCGCGGACCTAGTAGACATGTCTACTAATCCGGAGGAATGGCCAACCTTCACAACATAGATCGAGAGGTTTAAGAAACTACATGAGGACTTTGAGGATATGAGGCTTTCTCATATTCCTCGAAGTAGGAATGGTCGAGCGGATGGATTAGCTAAAGAAGCGAGAAGAAAATGATATACTTTTTCTCATATAGATCAGACCAGACTAGACCGAGATGCTCCTAGGAGGATCGACTCGTCTGATCACCACTTGATCTATCTTTAAATGGGCGGCTGACAAAAAAAAAATATATAACACACAATATGACTGCATCATTAAGCTGGCTAGTTAATAGTTATGCAGAAATTTGATATCAACCTCATCTTTAATTTAAAAGATATAATGTAATATAGAAAATGACAATTCGGCAAAAAAAAAAAATCAATTTTGCACGAATTGCAAAAAAAACCTGTATTCGACAAAAAAAAATCTTTGTTTTGTTGACTTTTTTAGTTTATTAAGCAACTTGACTGACCATATTAATAAACCATAAGTCACATTTAAGACAGCGTTAAATGTTGACGTTAAGTAAAACAACATCGTTTTCAAGTGAGATGAAACAACGTCGTTTTACATGATTTGAAAATAAAAACAAGTAAACCATTGGATTCGAATAATTGACAGACCATATTAACACACCCATAAACTCATAGTTAAGAAAGCGTTAAATGTTGACGTTAAGTAAAACAACATCGTTTTCAAGTGAGATGAAACAACGTCGTTTTACATGATTTGAAAATAAAAACAAGTAAACCCCTGGATTCAAATTCGGGTTGATGGCTCGTTTTCAAATGAGATGAAACGACGTCGTTTTACATGATTTGAAAATAAAAACAAGTAAACCCCTGGATTCAAATTCGGTTTGGTGGGACAAATGGAAAGGTACTTTACCACTGTGCTAGGGGCCTACTCTTTCATTGTAGTTACTAACACATTTAATTTTATTTGGTCCTGATTGAATATAAAAAAATATCTCTAAAAACTTAAAAAGATTTTTAAAATTCCAAAAAAGTATAAAAAGTTCAAGAAAAAGCAATATTAAAATTAAATTCCAAACATTCTTTTTTATTAAAAAGGAAAAAATTCCAATTTTTTTTATAAATATTTTTATTAATCATTTTAATTTAATTTTAACATGTAAGTATCTTTTATGTGTGTAAGATTAATTTCAATTTTTAGCAATTCTTTTTAAAACAATGAAAAGATTGGAAGATTTTTGATTTTTTTTAAAGAAAATAAAATTCTTAAAAATATTATTTCAAGCATTCTAATTTAATTTTAATATGTGGGTATCTTTTTATGTGTGTATAATTAATTTCAATTTTTAGAAATTGAAGAAAATTTTGTGAATTTTGGAAGATGTTTGATTTTTTTAAAGAAAAAAAAATAAAATTTTAATTTTAATTTCAAAATTAATTTATAAAAAGTTTCTTTATATTTTCAATTTTTTTTTGAAAATTTTAAGATCTTTTTAAGTGTATAGAGATTTTTTTGTATTCAACCAGCACCAAATAAAATTAAATGTCTTTGTAACTACATTTAAAGTGCCACTAGTACCTTGCCATTTTACCCGATCCACCTGAGTTCGAATCCAAAGGTCTACTTTTTTTTTTATTTCCAAATCATATAAAACGACGTCGTTTCATTTCATTTGAAAACGACTTCGTTTTATTTAACGCCAACATTTAACGTCGTCAAATTTTTCTGTTAAATCTACTGATGGCGTCCTAAATTGGCAAGTCAACAAAAACATTGTTAATTAATTCTAAAATCAATGAAAGTTGGTAAAGTACCTTGCCATTTGACCCGACCAACCCGAGTTCGAATTCAGGGGTCTAGTCGTTTTTATTTCAAAATCATATAAAACGACGTCGTTTCATCTCATTTGAAAATGATGTCGTTTTACTTAATGCCAACATTTAACGTCGTCAAATTTTTCTGTTAAATTTAGTGACGGCGTGATAAATTGGCAAGTCAACAAAAACATTATTAATTAATTCTAAAGTCAATGAAAGTTGGTAAAATACCTTACCATTTAACCCGACCAACATGAGTTCGAATCTAGGGGTCTACTTGTTTTTATTTCCAAATCATGTAAAATGACGTCGTTTCATCTCATTTGAAAACGACGTCATTTTACTTAACGCCAACATTTAACGTTGTCAAATTTTTCTGTTAAATTTAGTGACGGCGTGCTAAATTGGCAAGTCAACAAAAACATTGTTAATTAATTCTAAAATTAATAAAAGTTTTATATTTTTTTTTGTCAGTCCAAAAGTTCATGTTTGTTTTGGTAATTCGTGCTAAGTTGAGGTTTTTTTGCCAAATTATCTATAGAAAATATATAAATAAACCGGTCGCACATCTAAAAATTGTATATCCAAATTTGAGTAGAAAAAGATTGGCAAATTGATTCCAAGTGGAGTTGCTTGTAATGCGAAGCAAAGATGATTTCGCCTTTTGCCTTGTTTTCAACCCTCATCATAACGGACTACTTATTTCGTTTTTAACTTTCTTTTACTCTTTCTTTCCAGCTTTCATTATTTTAATTCATTTTCATTCGAAGATTTTTTTCCATGTCTTTTCAGTTGAAGGACAAAGCAACAAAACAGTTTTAACGTATAGCTAAGTCCAAAGAAATGTAGCGAAAAGACCATACGTGCTTCCATGATTAGTCCATCAAATTCGAAGTCATTGCACCGAAATAGTCCATACTACGTGTCCAACCTGGTCATAAATCTCTTTCAAGACTCAATTTATATAGTCTGTATTTCATATTGTCTCTTTAAAACTTTCTACTATTATTAGGGACTTTACAGTATTTTCATACTTACTAGTCAAACTTCCGATTAATACTTAAAGACACATATGCTCCACTGCTCATGTTTTCCAAATGCAACCATCTAAACGGTAATGTATCTATGGAGTTCAGAATTAAAATTAGGACATAAAAGGTTAACAGAAACATTAGGGGCATCTCTAATAATGACACCAAATTTGGTATCAAAATTACATTAAATTTGGTGTTTTGGTGTCAAACTTATTTTGTCATCTCCAATAATAACACCAAATTTTACGTCAAATGTAATATTATATATTATTTATTTTTTAATTTTTTTAAATTTTTATGTTTTAATTATTTGTAACTGATATATAATTACTTTATCACACTTTATTTATTATGTTTGTTAAAATTTTGTAGTTTTATGTTTATTAAATTTATTTACATTAATTTTGGTTTACCAATATTATATCTTTATGTATTTCTTATATATAAATATTAGTTATGATCAAAATTACAAACTATTAAAAATGAAAAGTACATAACAAAATAATAAATGAATTAATAAAATTTGTATTAGTTAGTAATACAAGTTTAACTATTTATAAAATAAAATTGTTATTTTAATGTTTGATAAATTTGATAGTATTACATAAAATTTTAATTAGTTACTATTAAATTTAGTTAATAGTATTGATATATTAACTAAATTTTTATACTTTTAAAGTTAAAAATAAAAATAAAACTTTGTAATACATTTTCTTACAATATGACATTTAGTGATTTATTACTTGAAAAAAATAATTATGTAAAATGATTTAAAATACATTATATTTTAATTAATAATAGTTATTGAAGATATTATTAAAGGAAATATAATAAAATATGTATTTTAAAATTTGGTGTGATGAATAGTTTTACATCAAATTTAATGTAATACTATTCACTTTACACAAAATTTGATAGGAGTAAAGTTTGATGTTTTGTTGGGGATAGATTTACACCGATTTGATGTTTTGCTGTCATTGTTGAAGACGTATACATTACTTATTTTCTAGCACATGAATATTAAGTCTATATATCGTTAATTCGAGCATAGACATGATCTATTCTCTATAGTCGATCTTGATATTGAGTGGTACACGTTGAACTACACCAGCATCTATCCAAATGAGCACAAGTACAAACGATCATTTCATTTAAAAAAAAGAATAATAAGAAGTCTTAAATCAGTATCATGGTTCATGAATATATCTACCTTCCATTTAGATAAATTGAAACAAAATATTGAATATAAAAAACCGCATAAATATTACAGTCACTCCATTTAAGAACTTATATATCTTAGTTATAGTTAAAAACTAAATCCGAGAATATATTAAACTTAATATCATAAATATAGAATGTGAACACTCGTCAGGATTTATGGATTCCTCGGATAAGTGACCGGAAAAAGAGGAAGAAGCAGAGGCTGAGCGTCTCTAGGAGTTGAAACTGGAGAAGGATGAAGATAAAATCCTTTTTCAGCAATGGCTTTGTCTTCTTCAGATGAGCTCTCTAAAGATAAAGGAGATGACTTGTTGAATGGGTCATCGTTGCTTCTCAGTGGCGTAACGGGACTGTTTAGCCCTAGCTTAGGGAAATCTAGCATGCTTGGAGACAGAAGAACATTCTCTGATGAGCTGTTCCTCGGAGAGAATATTGGGCTTTGATGACCATTGTTGATCATCAACCTCTGGGAGTTTTGAAGCCTTAAAGTGTTGATCATTAGATCATTCTTAGCAATCATGTTGTTGTTATTGTTTTGTCTTCTTTCGTAGAGCTTGAAGCTGTTGGTTTTCTTGATGGGTGGGATTGAGAAACCTCCTTTGTTGTTGTTCACCGGAGAAGGAGCTTCGTGGTGTTTTCCAGTGTTGGTATCGGTGGAAGAGGAGCCCGTAAGCATCTGAACAACTTGTTTGAAAGTGGAAGTCTCTGCTTGAACAAATGTTGTTGGGTAAGGATTTGAGAGATTTTGATGCTGTTCATGATGAGGAGAAGATCTTGTCTGATGCTGAAACCTAGGAGATGAGATTATGGGAGGGGAGTTTTGCATAATTTGTTCTGGTTTTGAACACGGGGATGATGTTGATGAGACCTCCATTAGTGATACCCCTCTGTGTGTGTATGAGGGAAAGATAGAAAGAGAGAGAGAGAATGATTGAAAGAGAATAAGAAGAAGACTGGAAGTTGCTGATGTGAACAATGTGTAATGTTGTTTTAGTTTTGTCGTGCGACGACAATTAAAAAGACTTTAAAAGTGAGGTGTCATGGACCCATCTCATTCTCTGTCTTTCTTCAAACTTCTTTTTTTTCTTTGAGAAATTTAAAAAAGTTTAGAAACCTAATTTCTTAGATTCGTATTCCGAAGACTCTATACATCTACATAACATCATCATGTCTCTTATAAGAATCAATCATCAAGTGTTTGAAAATATATAAATTGAAAATATTACACTCAAAGGCATATTTAAGTTTATTATAACATAATGAGACACTTTTCACTACCAGAAAACTAAAATAAATTATAGTTAGTAGGTCCCGTTCCTTTTATTCCTCTAAATTCTTTTTCTCCACAAATCACTTTTTCTTCCTCTCCACCGTTTTTTTTTTCTTTTGCTCTTTTCTTCTTCTTCTGGGTAAACAAAACATTTTCAAAGCTTATTTTTTACTTTGGTGAACTTACTTTTTGTTTTTGGGATCTCTGAAAACTCTCAGAGAAGAAGAGAAATTTAATCTTATTTCCATCTTCAGATTCAAAAATTTAACTTTTTTTAACCTCCGACGAGATCTCCAAATCCGAAGTTATAGTCATCTCCGTTGACTACGAATGTGTTGGTGTGGACTCAAAATCTGGGAAGTTACGGCGTCATGCTCGAAAACAAGCGTGTTGATGATTGGCGAAGAAGAGCTATAACGTTTTGGTTATAATATGTTAAAACTCAAAAATTATGAGAAAACTTGTTTTTCACTCGGTTTTAGATCTAATCGATTAATTACTACAGTATTTTTAAGTTCTAGAAGTAAAAACACAAAAAAAAATATTAAGATTGCATGAAGAAAATCAATAGCGGCTCTGAGATTTAACTGCAGAACCGCAGGATACCCTAATGGGAAGAATATGATTTAATTACAAATTTGTCACTCATTTAAAAAATAGCAAAATGTGTACAATTATATGTGTACATGTGTACATCTTCACAAGTGTACACTCTGTATTATTAAAACATTGTACACTCTTCACATGTGTACACTATTTATTAATAAAGCAAAAAACAAAACTTACATGTGTACAATTATATGTGTGCATGTGTATGTCTTTAGATGTGTACATATTTTACTATTAAAGCCCTTAAAACAATGTACCATGTATATAATAAACAAATTGATAAGAAAACAAGTGAAAACAAGTTACTCGTAAACCTATGTCTTTCCTTTCTCCATGAGTGTCTGAAACCCCTCGTCATCACCGGCTCCTTTCGAAGTGTACATTGGATTAGTGTACACATGGATAACGAGACCTATGTATACTATTCATTTATACAAATTTATGAAACAAAAGATATATAACTGCTTTCATTTTATAACGAGACCTATGTATACAACTCATTTATACAAATTTATGAAACATAAGATATGAAATGGAGATGTATACATGCTTTTCGTTTTACATAATTTCCAATGTACATTAAAATATTGTACATCTGGGTAACAAAACTACCCTACTCATTTAACCAATGTACATTGGATTAGTGTACACATGGATAACGAAACCTATGTATACTACTCATTTCTACAAATTTATGAAACATAAGATATATAGCTGCTTTCATTTTATATAATCTCCAATGTACATTAGGATTGTGTACACGTGAATAACAAAATTTATGAAAACTACTCATTTATATATATCAAATGTACATTAGGATAGTGTTTACATAGATAATGAGACATACATATACTACTCATTTATACAAATTTACAGTGTACATGAGAATAATGTACACATGACTATGGCTTGATCATGTACCGTATTGTACATGTGTACATGTAATTGTAATGGATTATCTTTAAAGGTAAACAAGTTCATAATCAATTTCTTTTTTATTGTATGTCTACTGTTTATTTTCTTGCGTTGGGTTTCTATTTATAGTTTTGGTCTCCAAAGCTTGAATTTTTCATAATTACAATTTCTTTTAGAAGTAAAGTGCTTGTATGTTGGACAAAGAGCAGAAAATGAAATACAATCAAAATGTATGCTATTCATGAGTTGCTACTGATTTAGATTCAGTGAAAACGTTGAATAATTATCATGTTTTTGTTGTTGAGCCAATATCATGTACACATGGATAGTCAATCATCGTGTACATCATGTACACATAAATGTTAATAAATGTTATTATATATTACACTGGTTTTCAGTGTCTATCTTTAACTTTCTTGTACACCAAACCTATATGTCTTCATTAGTGAAAATTGAAGTATTTTGACACAAAAACGTATCAGTGTCCATTCGTAAAATTGGAAGTCTTTTGACCCCGGTTTTCAGTGTCTATTTTGACTTTCTCAATTTTGATTTAGTGCTCATTTTCAGATAAGTCTATTCATGAAAGTAACTGCCTTTTAACATTAAAACGTATCAAGGATGTTCAATTTGAAAATCTCGGACTTATAGGTTTGGACTTATCAATGAAAAATAGTTTTTAATATATATGCACATCAACAATATATAATGTTGTACATGTGTACACTAACGATTGTACACATGGACACCAAACAAAAATATCCACATCTACATTCTGAAATTTATGTGTACGCTAAGAATTATTGTCTTACCATTAAGTAATTTATGTGTACACTGAGGTCTATTGTTCACACGGATACTATCCAAAGAAATATCCACATAAACACAGTTTTCCAAGGTTTACTTCTACATTCATACCTTTTTAACTATTTCTATAGCTAATCATTTTTCACCATAATACAATGAATCCAAGGTTTAACATTTATAACCAATATGTCCACTGAGATTTATTGTCCACATGGACATCAAGCTATGAATATCCACATGTACATAATTTTCTGATGTTCATGTGTTATTGTACAAGTTAATTAGTGTACATATAAATCATTGTACACGTGGATAATAAAATTTTTATGTATAATGTATAGTGTACACAACATATGACTTCTAAAGTTATAGTTTCATTTCTTTTGTGCATTTTGTAAAATCTTAGTAATATTTTTGTGTTATTTTTACAATTGATTTATTTTTCTTTTGCTTGAAAATATACATGTTACATCATTACATTAGAGAACTAGCACCAGTAGCTGATACTGAAGTATCCTTCGACGTTTTTATAACTAAACTACTGTTATATACATTTTTCAATCTTTCCTAACAAAAAATTAAAACCAATCTTTGATTAATTAATTTATGCATATATCAAATATATGACTCACATTTGTCAATGTACATGAAAATTGTGGGTGTCCATAATTTTTGGTGTTCATGTGGACACTATATTATGAAAGAATCGTATAAAGGATATAAGTAAAGTTTTAATTTTTTTTTTTTATCTATGTGATAAGTTGAGCAATATCTAAATGCACACATGTGACTTGTCTTCCTTTATTGTTGAGAAACTATAGTAAAAACTATTAAATTTATTATCATGACTTGAGCAATGTACAAATAAACTAGTGTACATATTTTTCGTAAATTGGTATTCTTTTAAGTTAGAATGCTTACAAGTTTAATGTTTATATACACAAAGATAGTGAAATTATCTGGTGTTCATGTATTACTGTACAAGTTAATTAGTGTACATATGAATTACTATACATGTGGATAATGAAAAGTTTATGTACAATGTATAGTATACACAACAAATGGCTTTTAAGTTGTAGTTTCATTTCTTTTGTGCATTTTGTTTGTATACTACCACTCATCCACGTCTACACTATCACAATTTCTTCGAGAACAAACTCCTTTGACTATTAGCGTATACATATACACGTTGGCTACTTTGTTTTGAAACTGCCCTCATGTACACTGAGATTTCATGGACACATCAAACAATGTACACTCCTTTCATACACACAACCACGTCAAGAACAAACTCCTTCTACTGTTAGCGTACACATGTACACTATCGTATTTTTATGTACTCTAGAACGTTGGCTACTATGGGTTGTACACATAAGCTTATATCTACATGCATACTTTTAATACTTGTATGTGCACTACCACTTAGCGTATCTCCATGTTAAAGCTCTACTAAATACACATGTATATGTATTTAGCGTACACATGTACACTATCACATTTTTATGTACACTAGAATGTTGGCTACTTGGCCAAATCTCATACTTTTTCTTCATCACCAACTGCCTCATAAGCATCGCATGCCCAAGCTTCCCAAAAATCGAACATCTACGCGCTGGTAATTATAGAAGCTTGCCGAAACACGACCCAAGCAACAAATCTCATTCTTCCGACGTTTCCAATATAGCCCTTACAAAGAGGAGCAAATCCACCGTTGAATAGCATTTCAGTCTCCGGTCTGGGAAACGATTTGTTGCGAAGAGGCGTTTCATGAGCTTCTCATTAACTTCATCATCATGTCCTCTTGCTGCAAACAACTAAATAACAACTTTTTTAATCTTACATCGATTACTGCTCAGATCCAAGCCTGACATAGAAATAAATCAGCACTTACCTCCCGCAATTTCCTTTCCAAGTATTTTCCTTCGACTCGACATTTGCTCTATATCCAACTCGGACCTTTCCTCGTGAATCGCTTTCTCCTTTGTTTTGTATCTTTTTCTCCTCTGTTTTTTTTTTCTTTCGTTAATGTCAACCTCTGAAAAAAAAAAGAAAACCAAAAAGTCTAACAAAAATAAAAAGGGGAAACTAAAAGCAGTTTATTTTTTGTCTCGGGTACATAACTAACCAACTATCTTGGATTTTTTAATATTAAACACACAAAAGTAGACCTAACCATGAGGGTACCCAAATTTTGTTAATAGTTACACTTTATTGAGGGACTATTTGGGTCTTTTTACCCATAAACTGCCTCTGTATAAGAAACTGCTTTATCATGAAAGGAAAACTCAGAATCTGTCTTTAGATGTAAATCACTCATATAAATTTAGGATATAATGGGTATGTGAATTTGTTTTTTCATATGGCATATGAAAACATTTATAGTATCAATACTATTAAAACATGAGCAATATTTATCACTCACAAATAGTCTAAATTGGACCATTTCATTTATTTAACTTTTATTATTTTAAATACAACAAACTTAGTTATTATTAAATATACACAAAATCTTTTCAAAATAAGTTATCAAAAATATTATTGAGTATCTTTTCTAATGAATTTTTTTAACAATATCTTTTAGTATTTTTTATTTAAAATATAAATATTCTTTTTTAAATATTATTTCAAATTTCAAATTTTATTACAAATTAATATTAATTCATTTTAATTTATAAAATAATATTTATAACTACATAATTTATATTTATAATTAAATTATCACAGTAAATAATACATATAAATGACCTAATATTATTTGATTATATGTTATATTGAATTATATATTAGGATTTACAATTATAGTTTCATGCAGCTTATTTCATAATAATGTAAACATTTATCAAGTATGAGATGGGTTGAATGTGATATAATAATTAATGGGATAATAAATATTTAACTAATATTATAATAAAATAAATTTTGATAAATATAACAAATAAAAATAAATTCATATTATAAGTACGGATCATGTTAAGATATAACACATAGGTTTCAATTCTAATTTATAAAACCCATAAAGTAACCATATATTGTTCAGATTTGGGTTATATTAATTCGGTTCGGATACATGTGAAGTTAAATCCAAAATTTAAAAGCAAAACGTAAGGTGTAAATACTAATTTAAATATAATTGGATATTTACGATACTTATTTAAAATTTAAATACTTATTTTAGATAACGTTTTAAAATAAATATAGAACTGAATATTTGAATTACATGTTTATGTTTCAAATATTTATCCTTATGAATAATTTAGACATTCGGATCGATTTTTGGATTTTTTGGGTTTTTGAGTTTTTTGGATTCGACTAACAACACTCAGGTTCAAATATGTTTTGTATCACCCTACAAAATTCATTTTGGTATTTCTTACATTTCAGACTGGGTGCGGATTAAGTTTTTTAAGTTGGGTTTGATTCATACTTCGGGTTTTAGATTTTTGCCCAAACCTATGTTAAATTAAAACAAAATACCATAATATAAAGCTTTCATCAAAACATTATCTCGCGATTTGAAAATGCAAATCAGATTCTAATTTACTTTTAAAAGGTATTACTTGGCAATTTTGTAAATGCACAAACATGTTGCTCAAAACGACTTATTAACTAGTTAGCTAGTTAAATTCAGTTTAGTTTTTGATGAGAAATTTCTTCTAAATTACATATTATGTTTTCTATTAATTCGGAGATATCACAAACCTATGAAAAACTCATATTAATATTTAAAATGAGGTGGAGTCTACAAGTAAACTGTCTCCTTGGATATGAAAATATGTTAAATTCAAAAGTCCACATTCGTGTAGGTGTCTAAAAATAATTAGAGTGATTTAATTAGTTCCACAAAGCAAGCATCTCGAATTTGAAATGTGATGATGTCTCAAACTCGTTTTTACCACACAACCGTGCCGAATTAATGATATATTATTCAAAACAAGATAATTTTCAACGGATAATGTTATCCATTTCATAAGGATCCTAAATAAATAAAATTTATCTAAACTGTATACACGAAATTCACATTTGTGACCATGACGAATGGTTCTAGCCGCACTTTACGAGAGATTTTCTTTAAGAGAAAATTGGGAAATAAAGACATCTCAAACTAGGATTTGGAAAACTAAGATTTGTACAAGATTTTTTAGTTAACTAGGATTTATAATTTTTTTAATACCATTATACCCTTAAATTTACATAATTAAAATTCAATTTCAAAATATATAAAAAATTAAAATAAACAAAGTAAAAAAAAAACAGGAAAGGTGACTTATAGATAAAACACATCGTTTTGCACTAACCCTAATTTCACCCCCTTCTCTTCTTTCCCGAGTCCTTCAAACGGCGATAATGGCAATTTAGGGTAAGTCATGCTTTTTTTTCTCCTCTTACTCGTTTATCATCGATTTTCTGCTCTTTAATCTTGTTTTCTCCTTATTCTCTTTGTTCTCAGATACAAATCGAATAGATTTCGACTTTCCGATCTTCTTCTTCTTCTTCCTACTACGAGTTTCGTCGGAGGGTTCTTTTACACTCTATCTCAAGGTTCTCATCAAAATCTCACTAGGTTAAAGATTACTTCTTTTGATTATGTTAACCCTAGATTTTCTTAAATCCGATTTGGTTTATTTGTTAAACTAAAATTACTATATGGGTTGATTAAGCTTCTTTTCGAGTCATATTGAGTCATGCATGTTAATATTTTTGACACGATTTGGTTTATTTGTTAGACCCGATTTGGTTGATTTACTAAACTATAAGTTACTTGTTTAGACCCGATTTGTAGAGTATCTATTTAGGTTTGCTTGAAAGAGGGGAAAAAAATGAAAAAATGGCTTTTATTCATGTAGCAGTCACAAGAGCTTAGTTTCTGTTGTTGTTCAAAAGTAATGTTCTGTGAATGTAATTGTCATGAGAGCTTAGTTTATGTCGTTGTCCGAGAGTAATGTTCTGTGAATGTGATGTTGTTCTGTGAATGTAATGGTGTTTTCTGAAATCTTAGTAATAGGAACGTGCACTTTAAATTATGCAGAAGTAAAGGTACATTGTTGTTCTTTTCTGTGTTTCTGGTTTCATAACATTATTTGTACAAGCAAAACTACATTGTTGTTTATTTCTTTGTTTGTGCTCTCATTGCATTATTTTATTTTTGATTCTAGGTATGTCTGGGGAGTTACCAAAGCGGCTT